ATCGAGGCACAAGAGGACTGAGGTGTGTGTTGCGACAGCAGAACCGCCAGGTCCTGGACTGTGGGTGCTGGGTATGCTTTCTTTAGACCAACTGCAATCCCCATGGCTGGAAGTTTCGGTTTATAAGGGAGTAGGAGAGCTTGACAAACCAGGCTTGACTTCCCACTGCTAATTTCATGCTCCCATCCTTGGCAGGGAAACCTCTAGCTGTCTGTCTCCTCTGCGTGCTTCTTTCTTTCTCCTTCTCACTCACTGCCTGTGATCTCGCGCCACGTTGGGGACAGTTATAGGTTAGAAGTTGCGTGGGTACTTTTTTCCTGAAGGGAGCTATTCAGACTATCGCCAGCCTTGAGCTCCGCAGCCCTTAAAGCGACGTGAGAACTTGCAGGGACACCTAGCGCCAGGCGTGGGGAATTGCGCGCCGCCTGGCTGAAGCCCAGCCAACCACTCGCACCCTTCTTCACAGTTCGGCACTTTCTTAGCCTTCATCCTTTTGTCTTACTACCCACTGCGAGGACATGGGCACGTCATAAAGACCGAGCTCTAAGAAATGCAGATAGGCAGGTAAACAGACCTTTTTTCTCCTTCACTAGGTCAACAGTGAGTTTTACTGGATTTAAGTGAACAATACTTTTACTAGAAAAGTGTGTTCTTAGGACTACCCCACACCTTGAGATGTCAGCCCAGGCTGCAGCAAATTGCAGTTTCAGCTTTTATTATTTTTTTAAAAACAAGTTCCTGGGTCTTCCAGTTCTGGACCCACTTCTGGTGCCCCTTCACAGTGAGTTTACTTTTCTTTTTAGAAGAAAACATTTACTATTTAATTCTCTACAAGACTGGAGGAGCTCTATCTCAGACAACAGCCTGTGCCTGCGGGAGGCACACCTGGCTTCATCAAGTAATGTTTCACCTTTAGGAAAGATCTTTGCTGTTGCTGCAAGTAATGTTCATTTAATGAAGCCTAATTTTGTTGTGAAACTGAAAGGAAATATTTGTCAGCATAGAAAGTGGCTAAGCAGACTAATTCCCTGTCTGATTGACTGTTCCTAGGGCCTTCTTTGTGTACCCTAGGTTGAGTTTTGGGTTTTGTTTTTGCTTTTTTGTTTATTCTTTTTATATTTTCACCCAAGTGGAACTCAGTATTCCCCCTAGAGATGGGAAATTAGGTCCAACATTAGCAGGATTTGGTGAAGAACACTGTTCAGCCAGTTCTACTGGACCTAAGAGTTTGGAATTAAGACTTTCTACCCTGAACTTTGGCTTCTTACAAGTTAATTAGGAGGGTGTTCTGCACTTCCTGGTTATGGCCATCAAGGCAAATGCTTTCAAAGGAGTCCCTAGAACCCCATTCTGATAGGACCCTGTCATCTTAGTCTTAATAGCACAGATTATGTGGTTAATTGAGTTTACTGCTGTCTTGGCAGAGCAACTTCAGTAAGTCTACCCTGGATTTGTTCCCCATCATGGCAAAGCAACAAAACCTAAATTGCAGTTTGCATTCAATTATTCCTGAAGCCCAGACAGAAGCACAATTTGAAAGATCTATAAGGAAATAAAGGGAGATACAACTTCTAGAACAACCTCAAGTCTTTAAGAAGGATGCTTCAGGAGGGAAGTGAAGGGGAGCAAGTAGTGGAGAAAAAAGCGGGGCTTTAGGAAAGAAGGGACATCGAGAATTTTTCACCAAGTCAGGAAATGCAGCAACACATATCAAGGAACAATGTATATTTGGAGACATCTGTCACTGCCAAAAGAAAGAAAGAAAGAAAGAAAGAAAGAATGAATGAAAGAAAGAAAGAAAGAAAGAAAGAAAGATTTTACAAAATCTACTTCTTTTGTTAAAATCCCAGCATAAAAAACACATACAAATGTAAGCCTCAGTCTGTACTCCTGGATAATTAAATAAAATGATGCCAATTAAATTTCAACCTGAAATCAGTTTAGATACAGGATGTACAAGCTAAATGAAACATTCCTGCCCATTTAGTCTCAAATTTCTTTCCCTAACTATCACCTCTGTGTTGTACACTATTTAACTCATTAGTCCATAACAGAGCAACATGACTTTGAGCAGTTCTCAGCAACAGTTTTGTCTTGGGGTAATGGAACATGGGAGCCACATAGGGCCCAATCAGAGACCCTGTCCTAGGAGTAATCCTCTCCTACAAGGCTGGGACCTCAAAAGCTTTGCTGGAGGCAGCAAAACCAACAGGATTAGCATGGGGTGCAGAAAGCAAAACTTGTTATTATTCAAAATCTCCTTGATCCCAGAATACTCACCAGGATAAGCAGAGAAACTCCAAATCCTGCCATTGTCTCTCAGGACCTTTGGAAGCGGAGCCACCTTTGACAATCTCAAATGAGCATTAATTCAAACTTGTCTCCTAGATCAGCACAATTTAATTTGCTTCATGGAGAACTAAGCAAAAAGCAATGACTACCTGTGATCAGCAAAACCTTGCAATATTTTCCTGCCTATCTTCACTCTCTTCATTTTAGACGTATAATCCAACATTAAAATGTATTTATCAAGTAGAAAATGGAACCAAAGTCCAAGAGCGTAAAATCATCAAAATATTTAGTTTTGAGAGACTAACATGTTATTGTTTTGGGTTATGTCTTAGAGATATTTCAATAAATTTTTTGAAGTCATAGAAGAAATTCAAAGTATCTCCATGTTTTCTCTCTCACTGAGAAAAGAAACAAGCACACACAAAAAAGAGTAATGCATTTCTATCTCTAGGTGGTCTATAGCTAATGGTTTGGTACCAAAATTGTTAGGTAGAAAAAAAAATTGTAGGGTAGAGAATCTAGCCAATCTTTTTCAAAAAGTCAGCAACTCTATCACCTGGCCTTACACAGCCACTTAAAAATGAAGTCCATCTTCCATTGTTAACTTTTGCCAAAATTGTTCTCACCAGCAAACTTCTTTTCCTTACAGTTCTACAGAACTCATGTCCCTCCTGCCTTGAACTGGATCATGTACCTGTCTAGGACTTCAAAAAGGTCAAACTAATTCTCTTGCTTTTCTTTTTCAGCACCTCTCCCATAACTTTCCCCTTTATTTGAGCCTTTTATGGTTACTGTGTATTGCATGTCAACACTCCCAACGCAGGCAGCCCACCCTGCAGTGCCAGGCCAGGCCCAGGACAACTTTGCTGGCTTTCTTTTTTCTTTGCCTACTCAGGGACTCTTCAGTCTGGGCACCAGGGGACTGAGTGAAAAACTGGCCTCACCAGTCACAGGTGTAGGGGAACAATTTTCTGGAGATAGGCTAGCCTAGAGAGTTGATTCCAAGGAATTAAATTGGCACAGCCTGCGGGCTCCCATACCCACTACAGCACCCTGGGGTCTAACACTGCTCCTAAGACAGAGACTCAAATCTTCACATGACTCACAAGGCTGCCCTACTTATTGCTGTAGATCAGAGGGGTAGCCTGGGGCTCTGAGGCTGAGGAATGGCAGGAAGGGACAAGGGGGGGATCCCCAAAACTCTTGCAGCAGGGGCTTAGAGCTGGTGCTAGCCCAACCAGCGATGCCCAGAGACTCCCTTGTAGTCAGATTTTGGTGTTCTGGGCTGCTGCTACCACAAGCCTAGGCTTGGTTTGGAAAAAGCATCTTCTTAATTTGCTTTCAGTTTTGTGCAGTTGACAACTTGGAAAAGGAAGTGAAACAAAGGTCCCTGGGAAAGTGAAGTTTTCAATTAATTGGTGTAACGGGCGGGGGTGGGTGGGTGGTGGCTGCAGAATGCAAGAGGCCGGTAGGCTGTGGCGAGGCACAGTGGCTTCTCAGCAGCCGCAGAGTGACTTTCGCCTCCCACACCCTTCAGAGGGTCTTTCTGCCTGACGAACGAGGCGTCCTGGATTCAGGACGCCCAAGTCAGGAGGTGCCCCAGCTGGCCTGAGTGTAGCGACATGGAGGTGTGGACAACGGACTTTCTCGCCGGGGCAGATTGTCAGGCTTGGCTCCGCGGAAGTGAGGTTGGTCCTCTCTCCTCTTGACTTGATTGCGAATCTCTGCCGCTGCCCAAGGGCGCTGTGTGTGTATATTCTGGGTGGACAGTAAATCTGTGTGTGTATAGGGTCTACGCCCATGAGTCTTATACGCGTGTAATGCTTTTGCCAGTTAGCAGCGTCTACGGTAGGGAAAATCAGCTTCCCAAAGTTTACAGTCCAGAAGTGGGCTAAGGAAAGATGAAGCTACAGGATTTAAAAACATTTTCTTGGTCTGTTTTCACATCATTCTGACCATCTCTGCCCTTCATCTTCATTTTGTTTGCAGCTGGGGAGCCCAGGAGAGGTGGCAAAGACAGCCCTGGCCGAGACAAGGCGCAGGCCTCGGCGCCCGCCTCCGTCGCAGACAGGGCCTGGGATGGGCCGTCGCGCAATCAACTCGTGGGGGTGGCTGCAGCGCCAACGCCTGGGTCTGGGGGAGGGAGAAGAGGAGAGGTGGGCCGCGCAAGGGCTGCGGAGGTTGGGGGCCGGGTGGGTGGGTCCAGGCGGCCCGGGCCCCTGCCCCCACGTGTCGCTGCGCAGCCAATGGCACGGTCCCCGGCCGGCGCCCTCGGGGCGGGAGGCGGCCCCCCGACCGGCCCAGGCCCCCTCCCAACCTGAACTTCGTTTTTATAAACGTCCCGCGATGAGCTAACCTGTTGGAGGGCGGGCGGGCGGGAGGCGGGAGGCTCGCAGAGGGAGAGAGGGCGAGAGGAAGAGGGCGGGAGCGAGCGAGCGCGAGAGAAAGGAGAGGAGGGAGGAGGCGCGCCGCGCCATGGTGTCCTGCGCGGGGCCGGGGCCGGGCCCCGGGCCGGGCCAAGCCGGGCCATGAGCCGCGCCGGGAGCTGGGACATGG